CCTCCCCCCCCTCTAAAATCTCCAAAATTAAAGAAGCCGAATTGCACAAATGAGTCAATACTGTGTGTTTTTATGTATGTTAAACAAAGTCATTCTTAACATATCGTTATTCTATTAATACGTATTTGTGTATAGAAATAATCGCTAGACATTGAACAATTCTCTGGGGGTGGGGGTATTTACTACATCGGGTTCCTAATTTGGACCTTGTTTTGACCTTGTCCCTAACTACCTTTGATGGATCTATACATAGATATCTGCTTGTCCTGAATATGGGTTTTATAAGACTATTATCCGGTGATTATCACTGTCCACCACCACGATCTTGCCATCAGGAGATACCGCTAGTCCTTTAGGGAAGCAACTGTGCCCTAATCCATTCAACCCCGATGATAAACTAGCCTTCAAGGTACCATCCACGTTATACACCTGAATCCTGTGATTGTATTGGTCACCCACTAGCACGTGACCATCTGCATGGAGCGCAATACCTGTCGGGTATTTCAGTTGAGTATCGGGTATATTTTCGTTCCCAAACTCTCTCAGATAATTACCGTTCAGGTCGAATACTTGGACACGATGGTTATTACAGTCTGTGACGTAGATGTCACCGTTCGAGCTCACGGTTGCATAGTAAGGTTGGTCAAGAAGACCTTGTCCGTTGCCATAGCAACCAAATGTTCTAAGGTGAGAACCATTTTTATCAAACACTTGAATTCTGTTGTTTCTACGGTCCGTTACTACGATTTCGTCCTCGCTACTCACCGTTACCCCCCACGGTCGTTTGAATTTGCCTGGCGTTTCTCCCAGACCTCCGAATTTCGACAGAAAGATTCCATCCTTGGTAAAACGCTGAATTCTGTGATTATCCTTGTCACACACAATAATATTCCCCTCGTTATCCACTGCTACGTCACTCGGGTTATTAAACTGGCCGGCTTTGTCACCGAATAATCCAAAATGTCCCAAATACCGACCTCCTGAGTCAAAAATTTGAATTCTATGATTGCGGCAATCAGCCACGACAATTCGTCCACTCTTATCCACAGCGACCCCACACGGTAAATTGAGTTTCGATTTGGTTTCTCCGAGGCCTCCGAATACTAAGCATGGCCGTGTGATCTCCTTATAGTCGCGTGGACTAGAAACCATCACAATGAATGGACTGTCTTTGATCGGGTGTCTGTTGATCTCAACAGCAACTTCGTGATTTCCACGTTCACTTGGAGTAAACGACACAGAATACGTCCCAGTTCCTTCGTCTTGTACCGTCGACTCCAAGATTTCACGGGTTGGAGTTTGGACTTTGACCGAGACAGGGTCCCCACCGTTTGTGCAAGGTTCATTGTCATATGTTTTAGTAGTAACCTGGAACTTGGTGGGAGATCCTGTTTGGGCCCGCACCAGGCCTTCTCCCTGGGCAACAGAGAGGTCAGGGCACGTGTTTGACACAGCAATTTTCCCCAAAGAATCCTTGACGACACTTAAAGCATTATCTTCGCTAAAATACGAAACTTTCTGAAACGTTGCTGAACTGAAATCTTTCCGAGTGTTTTTAATGTCTTGTAGTTTTCGTTTTAAGTGCTTTTGAATGACTAGAATCTCTAGTTCGTTGCCAATTTTGATTGCTTTTTCAGYGCACTGACAGCTTCCGCTCAGCTTCTCTAACACAAGCTCTAAATGTTCCTTTTCTTTGCGCAAAACCATTTCTTTGTTCTTGTAAGCTGAATGAACGTCCATCATCAGTTCTTCAGCACGGTTTTCGAGTGCTTGGATTAGTCGTTTCGCATTCTCGTGAATTGCAAGTTCCATCTCGTGTTTACCTTCCTGTAAGCTACTTAGTAGGTTCTTTACTTTGTTCAAAGACTTCCTAGTTGCATCTATTTGTGTCCTTCCTTGAGTCAACAAACTTCCAACGTTGTGCTGCTGTTTATGATAAACATCCCTTAGGTACGAAAATCTGTGTTTCCGATGGTCGACCATCGTACAATCAAGGCAAATAGGCTCGTCGCACGTTTCGCAAAAATACTTCAGGGCTTCGTCCTTGTGATCAGGACAACTTCCAAGCATGTCCATAAATTCTGTTTGCTCCTCTGGTATATCTTCCAGAGCATCTTGAAAAATATGCGCTYCCGTGACGTCTTTTGGGCTTTTATGCAACTTACGATTATACAGTGTTATCTGAGATAAGTTAGGATGGGATTTAAAGAATTTAGAGCCATTGGCGTTACTAATAGCTACAAATTCGGCGAGATAATTATGTAGAATTCCATCTCCAACTTGGGTCCCTGTGTTGCTTGTAAAGAAACTGTTGTACACATGCTCGTAAAGTCTCTTCTTTAGAAGCTCCGTATGTAAATCCCCATATTTCTTTCTGTCCATATTCCTAGTTTAACAGACATTAGTGTTCAAATCCTTTATCATTTACTGAGTTAAGTTCTTTATAAAACCAGTTTGTATTCATGTAGTTTTTGGCAATGTTGACGATCTTTTGTGTACAGGTTTTCAACCGTCCCAACAAAGACTGTCGTTTTTTTTGATTTATTCCCCAATTAGAACGTCGTCTTGGATCCGTAAAAGAGGAGTATTTTACACCAGAAAGCTTTATCAGATGATTTTTCCGTCTTTCCTCGGACAAAGGTTTGCGTATGTCGATGGAAATCGCTGGTAATCCTAGGGATTTGAAAGAGCAAAAGAATCACGCTTGAAATGCAAATAAATGAAATCAAAGAACAACATTATTCGCTTGGCGTAAACCTGTTTGACATGAGTTAATACAACATGTACAAAGACTTGTCACAAACCTGTCACACAGACCTTGGCTACCAGATGTATTGTTTGAACTCAAGAAACACTATAGTCTATCGTTTTCAAACTTAGTACTACCTTAGGGTACAATATAACAATTTTGTGTGTTCGTTGGCGTATTTACGACAGATAACATTTCGATGTTTGTACGAATTAAACTTGAACACAAGTAATACAAAAGACAAGTGATAATCCACAAGCTTCTGACAGAGTTCCGCATTGAACTTGTGCAACAATGCACGTCTTCTCTGATTGGTTGGTTTGGCATACAGCGAACTTAATTTGCTAATGAATCGAAATTCACTTCAACCTTCAGTTTGAGACAGTTGTAGAGCTCGTGAAACTCTTAGTTATAGTAATTCTTCCTTAGGGAAAAAAACAAAAAACAAAAGAAAACAAATAATCGTCATACCGGTATTATTCTAAGTGTTCTACCGCAAGTCAAACTTTTTGTTTATTAAGCTTCTTAAACATTCAGCATTGAATTGGGCATTCTTGTTCAGTCGTGTTGTGATCATCTGCATAATCCTCGCCGCTTAACTTAAGATTCCTCTTTGCCTTAGTGATTTACGTCGATAGAGAACACACTGAGTCGAATTAAGGACAGACTATTTAACCCGTCAAATTAATCAATTCTCTTTACCCGACGTCAAGATTAATCAAATTGCGCTGGCCATGAGTTGAGCTAAGAATTTTGATTTTTCGATTCGTTGCCTTATTGTTTAGGGATTGACCTGTCAGGTTTTTTTTTTTGTTTACAAAGTATAATCAAACAACTAGGTTTGTAGGACTATTGTTCTTCTTGTAGCACTGGTTTTGAACTTTGAATTTCTCCCTGTGGGGTTGTTTAGCTATAAAGTTTAGAATACCTTAAGTTACAAAATGCGAAAATGTGCATTCCGAGGGAAGCCATTTGGCGGTAAATCTCTCCGATGTTGTGATGTAAATATTGGCGGGCTTTTTCTTAATCATTCATCGATTATTGAATGCCTTGGTTTCAGCGGTTCAAACCCTTTAATCGGTTAAAGGGATTTTCTAGACTTAGCTTCACAGCTCGACAAATCAAAGTGTAATCTCTAAAGCAACAGTACCTTTGCGTGGAAGTTTTCTTTAAGTTTCAGCTTGAAGAGCGTGAAAAGGCGCGAAAAAAGCGCGAAAACGTGTGACAAATGCGTTAATGAGTTTCTCACGCGTGCGTTTCTTGAAAAAGATTCATTGTGTGAAAAATGATATAAAGCATCTCCATAAAGATTGATATTATGGTTGCAAATGCTCCGACTGCCTCATGGTGAGCTATTTCCTTCCATTTTTGCCATCTAATTTTTTGATTTTAAAATAAATATGTATCTGTTAAGGTCATGTTGAAAGGTAAGTAGAGTAAAACAAAAACTAAAGCAAACAGGTGCTAAAAGCGGAACAAACATGAACTATTCTAAAAGCATTTCTCAATTAACTTGACACAAACTAAAATTTCGCATTGAAATCAATATTTTTGTGATCATATCATTACTTTTTACCGTTGTTTTACTGATTGAAGCAAATAGTTGCTTTACTCTTTGGGCCGACTTCGACATTTTTTCTAGATCTGATCTATTCAAAATCACAAGGTGTTTTTAAAAATATTTCTTATAGTAAGATGTGTTGCACTGATACAAAATAAGCTAACTATCCAACAATAGGAAAACGAGTTTCTTAACTCTTCTTTCGTTTACTGAATTATCCAGTCCAATATTCCATTTACTATATTCCAATATAAGTTAAAATATTCCAGCGAATGTTATAAATTTTTAATTTTTTAATTTTTTAAATTTAACAATGGAAGAAATTCTACATTTATATATTTTTTAAATTTAAACATTTAAAGAGCATAGCTGCACTACAACACTGATGCCGGCGTTTCATTCTGGCGGACTGTGTACTTAACAATGCGGTTAACACTACACTGAAAATATATATCGCGTTTTAAAACCACCGCCACTATTATGCCAGCACTGTGTATGCACACCCACGGCCACAACAGTAAGTACTATGCGATAAAAGTTCCACGCCCCAATACAATATTGGCCAAAGCACGCTAAGCATAACACATATATCACGTACTTTAACGTGGGGAAGAAAGACCTCTTCGTTCACTAAGGGACGGACCATTATATAATTAAGGAGGGGTTGTGTAAATTCCCCCAAAAAACCTCGAGCAAGCACTTTACCCATGAAAAAGAAAAACCCGACAAACCTCTCCTTTCAGTAAAGAAATATCGAGCAAACACAAAAAACTTGCGTGCCAAGGCCTGGTACAAGTAAAGGAATAGATATCGTGCAACATAAATTCCTGCAAACTACCCCTTAATTTTATAATGTCCCATCCCTTATACACGCAAAAAGCCCATTCGAGAATATTTCTTGGATTGGCCTATGCTTTTACCTGATTGTACAAAGACATGCAAGAGGACCGCGTCAACAGGTCGACAACGAGCTATGAAAACATGCACGATGCAGCACTGAACCTTGATCATGGATTAACATGTGTCAATCATTCAGGATATTCCTAGCATTCTTGTTAATCTTGGAACGAAAGTTTGTCAAGACAAGGTTTACACACTTGAAACAAAAAGGCAACTAGTAGGAAAGGTTAATTCTGGGTTAAGATCTAATGTTTATGAATAAGCCTCGATTGTGCAATTGTATTGATTATTTGTGACAACAAGACACAAACAGAGGACAGCGCAAGCCTAACTCACAGATTGAACCGTGAAACAACCTCTGGGCTGATCTAAGTCAGGGCATGGCTAACTCACAGATCAAACCCTGGAACAACCTCTGGGCTGATCTAAGTCAGGGCACTGCTAACTCACAGATTGAACCATGAAACAACCTCTTGGCTGATCTAAGTCAGGGCATGGCTAACTCACAAATAGAAATGCAATTGAATGTGTTAGCTAGGTTTTGCGAAGGGAGGAAAACCGGAGGTTGAAGAAAAACTTCGAAGTTATCAAAGGATAGATCCTACAAATTGTTCTGAGTAATGTGATGTCGAGTCCATGAATCGAACTCTTTGCCCCAGAGGGAGGTGAGGGGTGTATTGCCGCTACAGCAGCCTTGATTTGCTATTTTCATCATTGTGCTGAGGTAGCGAATAAGAGTGAACTAGAAATGTCCGGAGTGCAAAGGAAAAAAAAAAAAAAAAAAAAAGAAGATATTAGAGACCTTTAGAATCAGGTTTACAGCTAACCAAAAGAAAGGGCTAGAAAAATGCCTGCTATTAACACGGAGAAACACTTTATTTAAGCAATTTGCCAAAGGCTTGTCCCCTAAAAAATGTACTCAAACCACATCAATGAAATTAAATATGGCGGCTCTTCCAGCTACAACTTCGTTATGGCGCCTTGCTAAATGTTGGAAGCTTGACGGAAAACACCTGACGTTGAACTGCAGGTTGAAGTTTGCGGTACCTGGCAAGAGCATCGTGCTTTTAAACTGGTGGGAAGAGGAAGAGGTGATAGAGTGGATAAGCAAGAAGAAACACATGGTCTAAACCAATATGAATGTCGTCGGTATTGCATGGTTAAGGATGGTGGGTACAGTTGTCAGCGCGCACTTTTACTGCGCACATTACGTAAACCACAGAGAAGACACATGTATATGGATACAACTCAAACAAAGAATATTATTCTCAAGAGAATGGAACGTGGTCTGAAATGGGCAAAACATTAAGCCCAAGTGGATTTGCCGTCTGTTATTCCTTTCCGCGATTTGTCGTTTTTTCCCCAGTGACTTCCAGAGTGATGTAGAGTCCAGAGCGGGTACCTAGTAACTACACCCCTCCCCTCTAAATCGGGTGTCCTGTAGGATGACAATTATGATCAGATATTAGGTAGTACTTTTACATGGGTTTAATGTGCGCACCCCATCAACAGTCTCGGATGGTTTAGAGCGTAAGAGTTAAATTAATTCCTGACTTACATTAGCTGAGAATTCTTTGAGGGCTTGGTAAAATCTCGGAAGCTTTGAAGGGTAAATTCATGCTGTTTGTAAGTACTATTCTATAATCCCCCTTTATGGAGCGTAGTTTAAGCACGTCAAAAGCTAAACTCTCAAGTAAATATTGTAAGTTTTTTCCTTCACCGGAAGGTATTATGTGTATTCGATTTCAATTTCACGTTTCCACGTTTCGATTTCGATTTCACGTCCTCTCTTGAGATCTGTACGAAGCTAGTCTCTAAAGGAAATTACAATAGAGCAGTTTTCAATCCCAAATTACCGCTGTGTTCCTTAAATACAGACTTATATACACAGGGTTAGCCTCGTAACAGGGTTTAAATAATCTTTTCCATTCTAGGAAACTACGCTGTTCGGCTGTAAATGCATTACAATTTGCAACGCGCGTGCTAATCATTTTAAGATTTTAGATCATCTATACACCGAATCGAAATATGGCGACTAACTATTGTTCTGCACTGACTACCGACTGACTAGCCTCCTATACATGTGAAAATGCTTTGATGTTTCCACGTGAACACGAGGCTAGTCAGTCGCTTGTTTGTCAGCGCAGAACAATAGTTGTTCAAATTGGTCGCCATATTTCGATTCGGTGTATTCCGACAGAAAACATTTTTTGAAATATGTGTAAACATATAAAAAATTACTAATTGATGAAAAAGCCTTTTTTCCTATTGTTTGAATAGTACTAATTAGCACTAATTAACACTAGTTGAACTTTCCGTGTACATCGTGCGCACTTGGCCTAAATAACATCATTAGTTAACCACTATTAGTATAGTAATGATGAAAAGGTAAATTATACACCGTGAAAAGATGAAAAAATTTACTGACGTTTCGGACGCTAGTCCTTCGTCTTTTACTCCGACGAAGGACTAGCGTCCGAAACGTCAGTAAGTTTTTTCATCGCGTATAATTTACCTTTTCATCAATACTGTTTAATTAGAAACACCGACGCAGCTCACGCTAGTTTTTAGCTAGTTATATCTCACTATTAGTATAGACCTAGTAAATAACGAACCCTGTGCTCTGATAGGCTGAGCTGCTAGTGATCTATTAGTGGTAGACCACTAGTAGCGAAAAGTAGCTGTTTTAGAAACCAAAACAACGCAAAAATAAATCCTATTGACCTAATTTAAATATTGTTTGTATCCATTTATTTGACGGATTAGTTCAAATACCTGAAAGAAAGAAAGAAAGAAAGAAAGAAAGAAAGAAAGAAAGAAAGAAAGAAAGAAAGAAAGNGAAAGAAAGAAAGAAAGAAAGAAAGAAAGAAAGAAAGAAAGAAAGAAAGAAAGGAAGAAAATGGAGACATATTAAACAATGACTTTGAAACTGATCTAAAAATATTTTAAGAAAATTTTTGAAAATTTATTTAAAAGAAAAGAAATGTTCTTTCAAAAAACGTCGAAACTAAATTCTCGGTTGCCTTTATCAGAGACTAATAACGTTTAAGTGAACTGGAAAATTTTAAGCTGAATTTGCATTAAGTACAAAAGATTTGTACGCCCTTGGGAGTTTAATGTGTTTGTTTTCACAGGGTTTTTTTTCTACAGAAGAGTGCCCAGTAGGCTCCTAAAAGTAGCTTTTCTCGGGCTTCAATTCAATGAGACGCTACGTTGGTTCCAGAAAAGAGACATTTTAAAATGAATCACAATAGAGGCACACCATCACGTGATGACAGCCATGACAGGAGGCAGGAACAATTGAATCTGGTCTAATGTGATTTACATGAGAAAGAATTCACTGTTTCTCATTGGACAACGACTCGTTGTTGTGCCTTCTGCCATGGCTGCCATCACGCTCTCATTCTGTTCCCGATTTCAAGACATCAATACTAAGCAGCATTACTCCGAGAATGCTGTTATCATGAGGTCAAACAAAACAACGAGAAAGTTTAATTTTTCTTCACTTTGTCATAAACGACATTCTTTCTTAATAATCATTTTCTTGGTATTTTTATTGTTTCGTAAACACTAAACCTCACATACCGTACAGCAATCAAAGCAAACACTTACCACATAGACTATATGTAATATTGATGCGTGCAAAAAGTATCGCTCTAACTTAACTTTATATTATTATTATCACTTGTTCTCTATCGACTGACGCTGTTTTGTCTGTTATCTTAGCGTCAGGAGCCTTGGATTCGCGAGCCTCTGTAAAAATAGACTTATTTTTGCACAAAATTTATCTTCAATTTGGCCCGAATGATTGCTCTAAATCAACCTTAAATGAAGTTTAATTAAAAAGGCCAGCAAGTTGATATTTGTGTTAATTACGGGCGACACCACTTTGTTGTTAACTATGCACCACATCAAGGGAAATTTTGTGTACTTCTAAAAGCATCCCCAGTCCATTTGACAGTGTGTTAAAAGCTCCACACTATTTGGCAGCATAAATACGAGCAATATAATTCGTAAGACGAACGACTGAATACCTACCAAAAACCTCGACGAGAAATATCATGCCTAAAGTTATTATCACTTTGGACTAATTCTAAGTTCGGTTTATTTTATGAGCGGCGGTGTTTGTTTGATAATTCCAGCTCGATATTGCTTTTCTTTGCAATTACTGAAATTGTTGCCCCAATTCCTGTTTTCTACTTCTTTAAGGAGCATTTTTGTAGACTTAATTGTACCGTTTCTTTTGAAGTCTTCTTTTATTTTATTTTTGCAACTTTATTGTAGTTTATCTGCTGTCAACAAAAATTGTAAACTGTACGTTCGAAAATCCTAAAAGTGACGTGAGATTGCCTCGTTGGAAGAGAATATTGAGTTTTTAGTGTTTCCGTCGGAAGACTCGAAGGAAAAATCCCTCGGGGGCGTTTGTAGACGAAATGAAATAAAATATTGCTCCAGAATTCTGAAAACTTTCTATTTTATTTGAATCCTAAAAAGACAGGTCGATTTAACGAGCCAAAGGTTGATCAAAAATTTAGCTGGAAATGTCTCCGGGGAGGAGGGGTTTCATGCGAGGGAAACGGAAAAAAAATACAAAAACAAAAACAAAAAAGCATACAAACAAACAAACAAACAAACAAACAAA